GATAAGATATACAAAATGAACTGAAGCATAATATTTGAAATTTACATAACATTATTTCAGATCTGCTACAAATGGCAACTGCCTCTATAGTTCATTGTCAATTCTGCTTGTTGGTGACAACTCTGTGGTGACTATTTTGAGGCTCATGACCTCTATAGAATTATTTTTATATGCTGATTATTATGCGAAACATCCATGTTTTCAAATCTTTTGAAACTCAGCATAACAAACACTTTGATTCCATCTCAAGCATGGTGGCCATGTCAGTCTCTTTTGAAGCTATTGATAGTGCTGGAAGTGGTTGTTCTGTTGCTGAACTGGTCAGGGCAGAAGCTGTGTTAAATGCAAAAGATATGGCATGGACTGGGTTTGTTTGTTTGTTGGCACTCTTCAGTTACATCCTGTTGCATTTTTCTTACTATCCTGACATATACTCTAGTGCTTATAGGTGGAATTTATTATTTAACCAAAGAATTGAACCTCGAATTCGATCTAGAGCTTGTGCTTCCACTAGTAATTATTTTGCGAGTTTTGTTTTGCTTTGAAGGTTCAGCTCCTCAAGCAACTGCATTCAAACACAATGCCTTTGATACTTGGTGGGAAGGGAACTAAAAGAAAGGGAAGTAGTCACTTGTCACAAGCTAAAAGCCCAGTATACAAACAAAGTTGAGGTTTACACCTTCTGGTCCTACTGAGACAACCATGACAACTAAGGCTCATCCATATGGTATATCTCACAGTAGCTTTGGGTTCTTGTGATGCTTCTTCTTTTATTTCATCTTCTACCTTGCAATTACCAGATAATAAAACTGCAAATGCTGATTTGCCTAGAAATCCATATGATGTTGGTTTTTATAGAGAAAAGGTGAGAGGTATGGAAATTCATGAAATTGAAAAACTTGTGAAGAATGTATTTACCTGATGAATGCTATGAATTTCCTAAAACTGTTGATGCAAATGGTCAGTAGGTCCTTTCGACATGATTGGCTGAAGGATTATCTTTGGCTTTCGATTCTCCAAGTCTTAATGGTGCTTTTGCTTACCATGTGTTTTGTTTGGTGATAGGTTTCCTCCAAAACAGTCAAATTAAAATATTTTTCAGAGCCATTAACACATTGGCCTGATGCTAAAAGTGCAATAAAAGGCATATAAGTACATCATCAGGTCTTCATGTTCACACTGCTCTTCTTAAGGATATCTTGGATCAGAGTTCGGTAAAAGCCAGCCAATAAATGTCATGATTGACAGTAACTTAAAGAAAAGATTTCAGAGAATAGGAAAAATTAGTTCCAGTAGTTGATACCATCATTCTTGCAGGTCGCCTTCAATTACCACTTAGAGGTCATCGGGATGATTCTCAGTATCATCCTGAAGTTGGTGAATATTCTGAAAAGCATGTTGGTAATTTTATTGAATTATTAAACTTCCGTGTTCGTGCAGGGGACACCATTTGGAATCCCATCTTAAGCATCATGATAAAAATGCCTCCTACATCTCTAAAACTACTCAGAATGAGTTAATTAGGTGTTGTGGTCAATTCATCACTGAACAGCTTCTAGTTGAAGTAAAAAAGAGCAAGTTTTATGCATTGATTGCAGACGAAACATGTGATATTTCTAATAAAGAACAGATGTCTTTGTTTTGCGTTTTGTTGACGAGGAGTTCAACATAAGAGAAGAATTTTTTCGTTTCATTCATTTTAGTGAGGGTATGTCTGGGAAGGACCTTGCATCTGTGATTTTGAAATGTTTAAATGAAGAGTTGAATTTGAACATTCAGGACTGTCGTGGGCAGGGGTATGATGGCGCAGGTGCTGTTGCTGGATGCATTAATGGTCTTGCTGCAAGGATTAAGAATTTGAATGAGAAAGCCATTTACACACATTGTTTCAGTCACAGATTAAATCTTAGTATTTGTGGGACTTGTGCTGTTCAGTATGTAAGAAATGTTTTGGAACATGTGAAGGAAGTTGCTAACTTTTTCAACTCTTCGCAATGCAGACAACTAATTTGGAGAAATGCATTGGAAACGCTGTCCAGATTCTGCAAAAAAGAGATTGAAAAGTGCTTGTAAGACAAGATGGGTCGAGCGTATTACTAGCTTAGATACTTTTGAAGAACTGTATGTTGCTATTGTTTTTTCCTTGGAAGAAATGAGTTTTAACGTCGAAGGCAAGTGTAATCGTGAGACCTCTAGTAAAGCTTCCCCTCTGTTACATCTTTTGACATCTTTTGATTTTATTGCAGCACTCGTAATAACTAGATGTATTTTTGATCTTACTCTTCCAGTTACTCAGTTACTTCAGTCTTCTAGTAATGATATTGCTGACGGTTTGAACTTGATTTAGGCATTAAAAAAATTGTCGAGAACTGTAAGAAATGAAGTCGATGTTTATCATGCTAACTGGTACAGTATTGCATTGACGATGGCAGAAAAGGTGGGTGTTGAAGAGAAAAAACCTAGAACTTGTGGTCGTCAGGCAATTAGAAGTAATGTTCCGTCTCAATCTGTATCTGATTACTTTAAGAAAACAATAACCATTCCTTTAGCTGATCACTTGTGTTCTGAGTTAGAAAAACGGTTTGATTCATCAGCGACTAGCATATATTATGGCTTGTTTTTAATTCCATCCAAGTTACTTTTGTGTCTTTCTTGTGGCGTTTCTTGGAAGGAAAAATTTTATTCATTTTCTTCTTTGTTCTTGGATGATCTTCCAAATCCAAAGGCTTTAGATGGTGAACTTGATCTCTGGCAGAAATACTGGGAATCGTCTTCTACAACTTGTCTTCCTGAAAATGTCTCTTCTACTTTAAAGTCGGTAAATTTTCCAGGTTTTGAGAACATAAAAGTATTGTTAAAGATCTTAGGTACTATTCCAGTCACTTCTTGTGAGTGTGAGAGGTCGTTCTCTGCTTTGCGAAGACTAAAGAACTATACAAGAAGTACTATGGCTGCTGACAGGTTAAATGGTCTTGCTTTATTGTATATTCATCAGGACATTAATCTAGATATAGAAAAAATTATAGATCTTTTTGCAAAAGACAAAAGAAGAATTGAACTAGCTTTCTAGTTCGGAGTGAAAGTTCTTCATGCCTTTTTTAAACTCTTGACTGTAAAGATGACTGCCGCTAACCTCAGTCAATATAAACACAAACAATCGTTCTCAGGACTTTACTTACCTGGACGATCGAAATCTACAAACATTTTTTTGCTTTTGTTTTATTGACAACTTCATTTGATAAATTGACATAAAATCGTTTGCATAATAATCAGCATATAGGTATGACTAGACCATTATAAAATGAAATTCCATATTGATGAAGCGTAAAGAATTTTTTTAGGCTAAGTTTGTAATGAACCAGGCCGTCCATGTCGGAAGCCCTCAAAGCATATTTTTTTGCGAGTTTCCTAGGCATGCTGATGAGCTCTGATATTGAGCGAAACGGTCAAAAATCGATAATTTATGAGCAAGAATGTTAGCTCATTCCAGTAATAAATATTTTAGAATACCAACTGCAAAAACGCAGGAAATGGCGTTTTTCGCAATATAATTTTAAAATTTTACCGGGGGGGACATGTTCCTGGACCCCCCCCAGAAAAGTCGCGCTAACGGTGCGACATTGTGCCTAAGTTCATATACGAAGCTGGATCCGCCCCTGACATCTACGTACGCACAAACATGTAACATTCGTAAAGTTTGTTTGTAAAAACTTGGCCAATTATTACGACGCTACATCTACGTACGCACAAACATGTAACATTCGCAAAGTTTGTTTGTAAAAACTTAGCTAATTATTACGACGCTACATCTACGTACGCACAAACATGTAACATTCGTAAAGTTTGTTTGTAAAACTTGGCCTATTATTACGACGCTACATCTACGTACGCACAAACATGTAACATTCGTAAAGTTTGTTTGTAAAACTTCCAATTATTACGACGCTACATCTACGTACGCACAAACATGTAACATTCGTAAAGTTTGTTTTGTAAAACTTCCAATTATTACGACGCTACATCTACGTACGCACAAACATGTAACATTCTCAAAGTTTGTTTGTAAAAACTTGGCCAATTATTACGACGCTACATCTACGTACGCACAAACATGTAACATTCGTAAAGTTTGTTTGTAAAACCCAATTATTACGACGCTACATCTACGTAAGCACAAACATGTAACATCCGTAAAGTTTGTTTGTAAAACTTGGCCAATTATTACGACGCTACATCTACGTACGCACAAACATGTAACATTCGTAAAGTTTGTTTGTAAAAACTTGGCCAATTATTACGACGCTACATCTACGTAATTACAAACATGTAACATTCGTAAAGTTTGTTTGTAAAAACTTGGCCAATTATTACGACGCTACATCTATGTACGCACAAACATGTAACATTCGTAAAGTTTGTTTGTAAAAACTTGGCCAATTATTACGACGCTACATCTACGTACGCACAAACATGTAACATTCGTAAAGTTTGTTTGTAAAAACTTGGCCAATTATTACGACGCTACATCTACGTACGCACAAATATGTAACATTCGTAAAGTTTGTTTGTAAAAACTTGGCCAATTATTACGACGCTACATCTACGTACGCACAAACATGTAATAATGCTCCCAGGCTTAAACCTTTCGCTTGATCAAGGTGAAAATTAAAGACTTGCCTTCTCCTCCTTGTGAAGTCTCGCATTTTACTCAGATAAATCGAGAAAGGTTCAACTTGAAACAAAGAAAATATTTCTGTATATCTTATTGCAATTCGCGCAAAAAGTCTACTGAAGTTTTATACTATATTTTTTTAGATATTTTCCACTACAGTGAATTTCTTGGGGATATTGGTGATTTGTTGATAGGAGATGATGTCCAGTTTGCTGTACAAAATAGATATGTATGTTGGCTATGTATTATGTAGCCATTGCTCAATGTTGGACATTCTCTACCCCCTCCCTCCCCCCGTCTGTACTTATGTCAATCACATGCTCACAGGGTAAAGAAGTTGCAGTCTCAGTGGAGCGTCTACCAGAAGGTACAGTGAAGTTTGATGATGTTAGCAAAGACACATTTCAAGGCACCATCGAGAAAGTACATTGTCGGACAAAAAGACAGGAACCGTTAAATGGTGTGATATTGTACAACACAAGCGATGGTAGTTCACAGCTGCCATATTGGGAGAAAGATGTCTTGGGGGAGTTCACCGTCTTGACTTGGGATGTTGTTGGTTTTAAAATTGCTACAGGTAAATATGGTTTGTTGTAACTGTTGGTATTATTTCAACATGTGCAAGATCAATGAGAGATGATTTTGTTGATCTAGGCGAAGAACAGTTTAAAACTGATTTAGATATCTAGTATATATAGATTAAGTTACGATCGATAAAACAGGCGGGAATCGTACTCAAAATATAAATATTAAATTACTAAGTTAGTTTAGGTTTTCTTCTGTAGTAACACTGGATCAATAAGAGCTTATCTTTGCTGGATCTTTAGGAAGAAGAGTTTAGAACTGGTAGAAATATCTAACATAAAATAAAATTGGTTTAGTTTAGGTTTGTTTCTGTGGTAACACTGGATCAACAAGATATGATCTTAAAGGGGTCATATCACGAATTTTAGCCCCCCTTTTTTATTAGCTAAATTGAAAGACCTTATTTCAGTGATTTTAAATCTGCAATTATAATTGAAATTGGATTGGTGAAAGTGATTTTATGGACCTTCAAAGTCACGATTTTCAGCATTTTTTTTGCGAACTTTTTGATCGGTATGCTAATGAGTTGTGACGTAGATAGTTGAACACATATATCAACATGGCGTATTCTACTAGTAATCTTAATAAGAAACGCGGAGGAAAACGCTGTGTGGCTGGCGGACCTAATCAAATTAGTTGCGCCAATGATTCAAAAACAGAAGGAATGTCGATGCATCTGTTTCCTAATAAAGAAACAGAGCCGCAAAGACATAGAAAATGGGTAAATTTTGTGCGTAAACATAGACCGGGTTTTGAGGCTTCCACTACCTCGTGTCTGTGTTCTGCGCATATTTAAGATTCTTGTTTTGACCTTAATTTGAGCGTGCAAGTCAAGCTCAAAAGAAGGTTGAAGAAAGATGCTATCCCAACCATTGACGTGGCTGGGATTCCTGAACCATTACAGGACGAAATAACCGATCGAAAGCGCAGACAAGTAAGTTTACGCTTGTTTATGTTAATTTTTCTTTTGTCATATGTAAATTCGATATATGTTTTGTAGATTATTCGACATACTCTCCATAAGCCATCGCTGAAGGAAACATCAAAGGATGGACAAGTGGTGCATAACATAAATTTCCCTAAGTATAAGTTGGGTGAGGAAGTAGTGCGGGAAGTGTCTGTGAAGCCATCTTATGGTATGCTAATTTTAAGAATGTTTTGTAGAATATGAGAATGAAGCATCAGTAACAAATTATTTTTCATATCAATTTCTAGAATATGTTGAACAAGTAAAGAATGTTCTTTTCATGTCTAATAAACAAGAACTTTCAACTATAATGGAAAGATATAGAGGAAAAGCACCCGAACCTTTGTGCAGCCAGTTTCCCAACAAACGATCCAAGGCTGAGGCAGTAAAAAAATATGTTGCGAGGAACAAGCATGTCAGTCATGCACTTTATCCATGGTATTGTTTACAATTATTTTAGGATGTAATGATCTGCATTTTTTCCTTAGTGGAACAGCAAAGACAGCAGTTACAAGACCTAACAAATGATGCAGATCAAATATTAAATAGCTCTGGGAATAAAAGTACTCGCAAATGTACTAAATGCAAAGCTCCAATGAAAGGACATCCTCGAGGTCAATGCTTCACTGAAAAAGAATAAATTGAAGTTGGTAGATGATAGGGCAGTGGTCAGACATTGCTTGGAGCCTGTCTGGAATGGAGAAGTAAGGCACCTCCTTCCCACCACCAGCCTGAGGGTTCACCTTAGGCAAGTGATAGTACCCTCTAGCCTCCCTATCTGGGCACTGATATACACACCTTTCCTGATGATTACAGTATTAATATAACATTGAATGGTATGTATACTTGTCAGATTGAAGATGACTATCTCACTCGATTGTGCAACTAATTAATTTTCATGAATAATTTTTTATTGTAGTTTAATGCTCAACATGCCCTTTGTGGATGCAGTGCACTCAAGTGTGAAGACCTTATAAGATAAGTTCATGTGGCTTGCTATTTTCCATTTTACATTTATGCTATGATTTAATTCCATATAATTTTTCTTTTTTTCCCAGACTGACATTGAAGAAAAGATTTTCTTTACCATAGTGCATCCATGTATCTCCTATTTGGTTTTCATCTAGGCATATTTCCTGACCATTCTAAACTCAGCAAAGAAGGCCAACAGTCTCTACAGTGCACAAGTTAAAGACCTTTCCATCATCGCCCCTCTGATGGTATGTAACCTTTGTGTTACCACTTGGATATGCTTTCCGAATAAAGTGGTAAACACAAGCAGGTAAAGGCCGAGTATTCTCCCATCCCATAGACCCACAAAACCATCGCATCAACCATCTGTATGCCACAGCTCTCAAGTACCTGAAGTAAATAAAAAGGTTGGACTAATTATTGTTGATGAAACAATGTTGATGATAACATTCTTTCTCATACAATTTACAATCTTACATATTTAATGATTGTGATGCTTGGCGGCGATAAGCACGTCCATTCCTATCTCTCAATAGTGGCCCGACGTTTTCAAGGACAGCCTCATGAACTAAAGGCCCAAATTTGGCATGCTGTGTTATGCATGATATTTTCTCAATGCTGCCATCGAATGTCATTTTCTGCAAAGCTGGTCCATTTCCTTACAGCATCTGTACTCTAATGCGCCTTCTAACAAATCGGTATGACAGCATTGACAATTACACCTGAAACGTGGGAGCATTGTGGTTTATAAAGTAACTTTATGTATATTACAAACAGGAGAAAACAACAACTTACCATTCACCGAGTGGAATTACGCCATCACTTCGTTGTTCTAAGGTCGCAGGAGAATTCCATCGGGATCATCTGAGTATGCACTTCATCACCATCTCCTGCGAGCGGTTCATCGTCATATGCGAAGTCGTTTAAATGCTCGACATAACCCACGGATTCCGAGCTCGAATCAGATACGCATTCAGACATCGAATTCGAATTATCTGAGCACTGATTTGAAGCCATACTTTCCGGACAACTTGTTTTTTAATATTTTATTGAAAATACTGTCATTATTTGTTTTTGACACAAGAAAAACGACAACAAAATCACCTCCTATAATATAATATAATATTGACGGAAACAGACGTGTTCAACTATCTACGTCACAAGTATCAATATGGCGTCGTAAAAAATTCGCAAAAAGTACCCGACTTTGGAGGCAAAATTAAGGAACTTATATTTATCTGTTTAAGTCCAGCAACATGTCATAGTTCTTCAACTAATCCAAATTTTCAATTAAGCTAATAAAAAAGGGGGGCTAAAATTCGTGATATAACCCCTTTAACAGGATCATAAGAAAGAAATGTTTAGGACTGATAGAAATATTTAGTAAAAATAAAGTTAATTTAGTTTAGGTTTCCTTTAGTAGTAACACTGGATCAACAAGATATGATCTTTACTGGCTCATTAGAAAGAAAAGTTTAGAACTAATAGAGATATTTAGTATAAATAAAGTTTGTTTAGTTTAGGTCTCTTTCTGTAGTAACACTGGATCAAAAAGAGATGATCTTTACAGTAAGAACTGTTCAGAACTGATAGAGATATCTAGTATAAATAAAGTTAGATTCGTTTAAGTTTTCTTCTGAAATATTAGCCTAACAGGTTGTTAGAATCCAGGCTCTAATATGCGGAGTTTTACTTTACACCCTACTTCAGCCTCATATCTAATCTTAGTTAATAATTTCGTTATTGTAACTGTGGGTGAGGCTTGCTCCATCGACATAATTGTTTAAAACTTCAACTAGTCTTCCTTTGCTTAGACATTACCATGTTTAGACGTAACATTTTGTTTTAAACTAGTTAGTTGTCTTCCTTATTGTTGATTGAATGTTTTGGTGTCTGGTTTAACGTGCATGTCTGAACACTTGAAGAAAACACCAAACGTGTTTGTACCTTACAGAATAACCAAGCTTCCAAACTATAGTTTTCCTTTGAGTGTGTCCAGTTCGATATGGCAACATATCCATACAATGAAAGAAATTAACAAATTTTTCCCATGATATCGGGAATATAAAGCAAACTTCCATCTTTTAGCCTCTCAGTCAAGCGATACATCTCTTTTCTTTTCGTGCAGATCGGCGTGATTCTTTAAGAAGAGCAACGGAAATTCATCTCATCAAGGAAGTGGAAAGCAGCAATGGATGCAATGTCAGAGAAAGAGTAAGTTTTTAATTCTCATTTACATGTGCTAGTGTTTAGACTGCGTCATGAGGAAGCCATTTCTCCAAATTTTGCGGGAAATTGTTTACCTTTATCACTGTGATGGCAAATGTTAATTGCTTGGAGTTATGGTTTGAACTTTTCCCCTCCCCGTCTATGAGTATTTTGTCCACCCCCCGTCAAAAACATTTAATCCCCCCCTCAAATTGTACCTCCCTAAAAAGTTATATATGCTCTGTAAGCATTCAAAATTTCACAATGTATCGTTGAAAATAAAGGTTTGTCCAAAGTATTTTATCGTCTTCAAAATTATCTCTCATATTTTGTTGGGAGATTTTTTTATTTTCGACAACGCTAACATTGTGCTCCATGGTCATTGGCTTTGGGCATTTTCATTTTATGATTGTCGATTTGTAGCTAGAGTGCACAGAATCGACTTAAATTCGTTTCCTTCTTAAAGATCTATGTAGAAATTGTTCGTGGTGTAATGTGATTAAATGCATGATTTTTTGTTCCTTGTTAGGATTTGTTTCGGATTTGAAAGACGGCTATGGCCTCATTCAGTGTTGTGATAGAGGTACAAGATTACTCTTTCATTTCAGCGAGTTACTTGACTACGTGAGTTTGTTTGTAATGGCAATCGTAAGCAAAAAAACCTTTCAAATCAACCTCTTCTAACCACGTTAGAACATCGTTTGCTACATAAAGCTCGATATGTGCCAGTGAAAGTATGTCAAGATAAATCGATGGAGAAAGTAGCTTTGCTGATGTTAGTTTAAAGTATCGTTAAATGTTTGTAGATGAAGATCGTCCAGGTTTAGTGAAGTTCTGAGAAGGACTGTTGGTGTTCGTGTTGACTGTCAGCTGTATAACCAGAGTGTTTACAACATTTGCGGTAGGCTTCACTCTGAAGATGACTACCGCTTAGGTTGTCGAAACGTCAGTCAACATCAACAACAACAATCATTCTCAAGATTTCCCGAACGTGGACGATCTACATCTACAAACATACAACGATACTCCCGGGTTCAAATCATTTACTTTAAAGCCTTATCAGTTAGTGGATGATCGTGTCAAATAATATTGCTTGTCGCGATGCAGTTGCTGTTTTATTTTCCATAGGAACAAGAAATCAACTTTTCCGATGAAGTGGAGTTCAGTGTCGTCGAGGTTCGTAAAAAAAGATGCATTTTGAGATTTTTTTCGACTAACTGATTTATACAGCTTTAAAACGCGTTTACAGGATCACGTGTCCGGAAGGCTGAATGCGGTTTGTGTTAGAATCTTACCACGGGAAACATAACTCTCCAGGTATAGTCACCATAGTGTATCAACCAATCATATAGTCACCATAGTGTATCAACCAATCATATAGTCACCAAAGTGTATCAACCAATCATATAGTCACCATAGTGTATCAACCAATCATATAGTCACCATAGTGTGTCAACCAATCATATAGTCACCATAGTGTATCAACCAATCATATAATCACCCTAATATATCAACCAATCATATAGTTGAGAGTGCTAGGAGCATTGTGTTTGGCTGTAGACTAGAGATCAACGAAAAAAAAAAAGAAATTGGTTGGAAGCAAAGACACAAGATTTTACAAAACAAGAAAAAGGCATATGATCGCGAAACACATCCTTCTCTACTATAGTTTGTTTTTAACCCCTCTCCTTGTTTTTCAACACTGTTAAAATTTACATTTGCGTTCGAATTATGATTGATTTACGGAAAATATCAACTTGTTACAAATACAAAATACAGAATATCATTCAGAGACTCTAGACTCTAGATATGAGAAACGTAGCCAACACTATAACGAGTGTCTCCGATTCATTAGTTTTCATTAGTTGGAACACACACCAACTATTATGATGTATTAGCTTTCACTTAAAAAGAATATGAGCAGACGACCATCAAGTAAAACAGTTTCTTCTCGTCATGTAATATCAAGTAGTCTATTGATATCTTCAAATAATCACGTGTTAATTATAGTTGGGCTTTTTGTCCACCTCCTGTTCACTTAATGTTTATTACGTTCGTCTTTGTCATTCATTTTTATCTTATAGGCGGTGGAAATGATGGAGCTTTTACTGATGCAGTTGATCTCCTGATTGGTTTTTATTCTTGTCGTATTGGCTGTTCGTTAGGATCAATATAAACTCTTGTACACGAACGTGCAGTAAAATGCGTGTTGAAGTTATTCGACGACTACTGACAACATTTGATGAGTGAATTCTTGATTTGCAATTTAGCCATTTAGCGGTATAATAGAAAAGAATATTTTATCAGTGTTATTATTGGCACCAGCCAACTTGTGCGAGCAACATTGTTTGGTAAATCTCAAGAGAATGGTTGCAAGTCAAGAATAGTTCTGAATTTAAATATAAATTAAAATTATCAAATGCTCAAATCAAACACTCTGTAACGACTGCTCACTTTCATGTCTCAATATATAGGTTAGTTTAACAACCGTTTGCTTGTTCATTAAAATTATTTAAGAATGATTGTAATTTGTATAGGAAAAATAAAGAACTTAGCTTTTAGAAAGGAAAATCACAACTCAACTTCTTGTTACAAATTGTTTATCAATCTGTTCTCTTTGTTATTATCAATGGTATCACAAAATTGGACTCCTGTGTATACGTAGGCAATGGATGTACGATTTTGCACTGTGGAAGATTGTTTTGTATTTTGGAATAATCAGAATATTCTAACCCACTTGGAGAGAACTCAAGTACTACGGTAGCTCTTACCAAGTGTCGTGATTTGACTGCAAATGCTATTTAACGTTGTGCTTCGGCTTAGATTGGTGATTAACGGAAAAGAAAAAATGGCTTAGAATCAATAACACAAGATTTTACAAGATGTACAAATCAGGAGGCGCAATTGCCCAACTGGTTTCAATTTTTGGCTTCAGCTTTTATTCCAGTTATTTAAATATTGAGTTCAATGGTTCACTGATGTCATGTAATGTGGCGGATCGTAAAAAATTGGATAGTGTTGTGGTTACGGACGAAATTTCGTCATAAAAAAGGTATTGAATTCCTTTTCAATATTAATTGTCTTTTCTTAAATATTTCATTACATTTTTGTTCACTTTGTACTTCGTTTGCGTTTATTTGACTTTTTGAAATTTAAATTAATTGCTCACCATGTTTTGAGACAAAGCCGATTGACAAAAGCTTAGCAGACGGCAAAATATTCTCCTTGTCTGTATTTGTTTGTGTCCTATTCGTATTCTTCCTTTTGTTTTTCGCTGAATCGGCATCTAATTAAACATAGAATTATACGTTGTAGTTTCTCTAAATTACAATTATACGAATACATTCAAAACAAAGAAATGACAGGCAATTTGATATGTAGATCAAAAAGTTTTTCGTATTATGATCTGTTGTTTTATATTTGATGTCTTCAAGAAGTGAATCTTAGAATTGAATTTCAAATATTAAAATTGCGAGTCGCCTTTATCTGATATGAATTATGTAAAAGTAATAATATATTATTGTCTTGTGATTAGTGTCCTCTAAAAAGTAATTTGATGTTGAAACTTATATCATTATGTGTTCCAGTCTTTGTGTAGAGTGATTTTTTGTATAATTACAATTGTTGTATAGCTGTATATAAAAATTAAAGTAACAAGTAATCCAGTTCAGTGTCTTCATTCCATACTATTCACTTTTATAAATGTGGGAGGATAGTAGTTTGTGCAACTGATCTTTTGATACTTCTTTGTTATTCTTTTACACCATTTGCTCATCATTAAAGAAAATCGAACATTCAATTACAAGGCTTCGATATACCTGCAATAAAACAATAAAATATTCATTATCTTTATAGAAAAATCAGAAACACATGTCTACAATCAATAGGTTTCTCTAAGAGAAAGGTCAGAATCATTCGAATAAAAAGAAATTTGCATAAACATATTTAAATCTCTGCTTTAGATAATTTGTTGCAAATAAATCACTACACTTCTCTTTCATACAAACTTCATATTTATATGTTTATTCAGTAGCGTAGCCAGTCTGACTTTACTCTGGCTATGCAAATATTTTTCGCATTTAATAAATATGACGAGTTTTTTCAAAATAAATGTGTTTAAACATCTCATGATTGCATCTTCAGTATAATAAGAATATTATGTATAAGCATGATAATTTTATATAAGAGTAATATGATACAGCAGGGGTCTCCAAACTACGGCCAGCGGGCCAGATGCGGCCCGTTGGGCCTCTCAATCCGGCCCGCAGGGACACTTAAGAAAGCCAATTTCACAACTCACATTGAGAAAACTGACCAGGCTAATTGTGATTTTGTTATGATATTACTTTTCATTGAAATTTAAGCTTTAAATTTTGAATAAATATTTTCTTAACTAATGAAGCTTGTGTAATGTACTTCGTTTTGTTATAATATTCGTTCTTTGACCAACGGTATACGGTTCGTCGGCCCTCATCATGCTGGATGAAAGCTCATGTGGCCCTTTGGCTGTAAAGTTTGGAGACCCTTGTGATACAGTGATACAATTATCATTAGATTATAAATATTAAAATGAAATACTGGTTGGAACTAATTTATGAGTGTATTTACAGGCTGAATATAGTGTTAAAACAAAAAAACGTGAACGTTGAGATTACGATTAGTTTTGTTAATGTGAAATGCTTCTTTTAAAAAAACTCGTCGTGTTTATTAAATGCGCAATATCAATAGTGGGTTTACGCAGTTGCGGCAAATATTTTTGTGTTTATTGACCGTAAGAACAATAGATTTCTAAAGAAATACTTCTAGTGTATTAGCTTTTATTTAGACAAATTAAAAGTTAATTTGTGATTACCACAATTATTATCGGTAATGGACCTATATTGCGATCTCAAATCTTGTCGACCGAGTCATAATTGTCCAAGCGATGGATGCGTTCCAATGTATCAAGTTTATCCGGAATAGACGCCCGCAGTTCGTCGAAACGGCGGTAAGCTTGTCTTTCTAATTCTTATGAAGCCCCAATTGCACAAACACCGAGCGCTATTCTCATTTATGAACTATGCAGCCTCTACCAAATAGACCATAAAAAATTCGTTGTTTTTGACATTGTATATATCAAAACTTTGACACATTTACGATCATCATATGTTGTCAACAATAATTTCAAAACAGAATGTTTCTGGAAACTTACACATTGAATTTTATTTAGTTCGACCAACCTTGGTGATGTACTTAGTTTTTTGATTATTTCTATAACATTTTTATTATTTAGGATCAATTCAAACTCTGCTACCGTGCAGTGAACTGCGTATTGGAGTTGTCGACGGCTACTTAAATTTCTCGGAAATAGGTGGAAGTTGAATTTTTATACTGTACAAATTTCTGGAAATTTTTTTTAGATGTTTGCTGGAATGTTACATGATCTGCAATTTTGTCTTTCATGAAAAAATAGAATTCAACATAAAAAACTTTTAAATATTTGCTTTAGTTTTAACAAGGAGAGTCCAGGTTAAGTATCGTTATATGTTTATAGATGTAGATCGTCCAGGTTGGTAAAATCCTGGAAATGACTGTTGGTGTTAATGTTGACTGAGATTTTGACATCGTTGACTCTAACGATGACTACCGCTAAGGTTGTTGAAACGTAAGTTAAAATCAACACCAACAGTCCTTCTCAGGACTCTACTGAACTCGACAATCTACATGTGTAAACATGTAGAGTCCAGGTTGTTCGGAAACCTGGTGAGAGTGAATAATTCTGATTAGGATTTAAAAGGAATTTGGAACATAACATAGCAGTGACGTAGCAAGCCCGCAAGTTTGGTCGTGCTATGTAAATTTTTCAGTGCTCACTTACTGTTAAAACTGTAGATTTCTAAAGAAATGAACAATGATAATGATCTAAAATTTACATAGCACGATCAAATTTGAGGGAGGACTACGAATTTTGTCAATATTTTAAATAGTACAACATCAGTAATTTTTTTTTGATTTAAATATATTAAATTGAGTACTAAGAACAAAAGTTGTAAACAAAAAGCAAATCGAAATTAATCGCGAGTTCGAAACAAACAATCGACCGCGGCCGTTGCCGTTGAATTTTCGAGTAATACTTGCTGTAATAAGTTTCCTGTTTATCTTTTGGAAATATCCACTATTTCACCAATGTAAACAACCAAAAGCAACAGGTTTGGTAAACAGGTTTATTGGATTCAGTCGTGACATAAAATGACATCGTTATCATAAAATTCATTTTTTTGCTGTCCAGCTTATGCAGATTAAAAATGTTGATGTAGGAAGCATAAAGTGGACGTCTGACATACACAGTAGATTTTTGTTCGTATTACTTCGTATTTTGTTTGTATTCTATCTAGTGATATCACTCTATATGGATTATTTAAGGACTCAAGATTCTATATCATGACAGATTATAAAAATCTGATGATAAAATGTACAACGAGTGAAATAGTAATAAATGTTAATAATTATTAATACATATATGTTTATTATTTTTAAAGGACATCAATTAAAGTTGGATGATACGCGTAATCAACTACGCGCCACAGAAAATTATGGCGCCCACCCAAAAAATAATCACGGTTTGGCAGAAATTTTACCTGAAGTGGAAGGTATAAAAGAACTGCTGAAGTCAAAGGAGCTGTCATTGTTGTGTGCAGGTCATGTATGTATATGGAGTGCGCGTTTTCTTAACGTCTCACATAATCGCACGGATATTGCAGTGTACGTGGGAGGGGAGGGTTCGGAACTATGCAACAAACTTAATCCTTATGTTTTGAAACTCAATTTTAATTGAAACTGACGTATTCTTAATTCCATCTATGTTATTATGATGGAAATTATTTTTTATTTCAGTGGTGGTTCTATTTGATATCTCTAATCTTGCAGATCGCGTTAATCTGTCCAAGTGGTTGATGTATTTTAGTGAATCTATTTGCTGCGTTCCTCTAAGGATCAGTGGTAAGTAATCTCATTTATAGCAAAAGTATAAGCGACAATTTTTCTGCATGCAAGCAAGAATATGACTCTTTACAATCACACGATTCTCCATAATGTTGTAGATAAAGATTGAAATTGTTAGTCTGCGTATGTAAACTACATACAATCTTACATCAATGAGATCTCCAATTCAGCAACCCGTTTTTCAAACTTTGTCAATTCAGATGCAACAAATCACATTTAAATATCGCAAGCGTAACTTCCGGTGAAACAGCGCACTTTGATTGGTTCAGAAACATTTTTCCATGTTTTTTACTCTTTCATAATGAACCAGTAGTCCATTACATGTATATTTTCAAATAAACGTAAACAAACTTTGTGAAGCAAATAGCAAACGCAAAAAAAAACGAAACAAAAGCCATATACGAATGTGAGTCGAAGAAAGAGCACTTGTAAAGTGAGTTTTATTATCTGGACAACAAAATTTCAAACGATTTATTTTTAAGATAGTAGCGAGGGCCGTATGCAGCGTAAATCAAATTTGGGTGATAAAAATTAATGCCCAACATAAGGCTTTAAATTGAGCCAAAAGTATAGCAGATTCAAAAATGGAATTCATTGTAACGTTTTGTCTTTACTAAAGACATCTTTAGACAGTAATAAATATTTATGCATTCTAATAGGAAATGCTACTTATACGTAAATAATCTTATTTACATAAGGTAATAGAATACAAAAGGAGACAGCGTAGAATACATTGCATAAATTACGAAGTTAAGAAGCACAATAAATTGCAAATAAAAGGGATAGCGTGGAATAGAACTCTCTAGGACGTTAGGTGAAGGCTTGTGATTAGGATGTTCTCATGAATGGAGAGTTTGTATGGATCGTGAGAAGAGAAAATTATTTTAAAGTCATCAATATAGTGGTGTTTCCACATGTGTTTTTGTGAGCAAAATTGCTCCATTACGTAGGGCGTGATATTGGTTACCTGTGACGAGAGATATTACCAAATGCTTCGAAAATCTTGTGTCTAAATGATGTTTGCTTTGACACACATACGATGCGTTGCAGCTGCCACACTTGAATAAATACACAAATGTAAAACTCACCCCTTCCAATAGCAGCAAACCTATACCCTCACTGACCTGTTCACTAACTTCCATATCTTCCTTACACTTAGTTTCAAACGTTCACTAGCTTCATGGGCATTTCATCAAATCTCTCTCGAAAATTGTTCCACATAGAACTCTAATTTACAAAAAAAAACTTACTCGCCAAAAGCGGTTTTCCTTCCCGCATATATGACCAAATGACACGTCCCTTTCTCATCAACGACTTTGATCCAAAACCTCCCATCATAACTGTGCACCTGTTCACTTCAGAATGGAGACATAAAGTCAACTTATAAAAATAATTAGCATATTTTAAGAAGTCTTTAAATTATCAGCCAAATGGGTGAACAAAAGTTTGTCTTACACCAAAGTAAAGTGATGTCGAAATAAGGGACAACAAAAGGTGATACGGTTTTAACTTTGATAGCAGACAATACTATATAGAACACTTTTAACTTTAAGATCAGTAAATTTCAAAACCATTTTATATTTGATTCTTTAAAATAGAATGCTGAACTCAATTGTGTATTGCTTCAATCACCAAAACTGCTAAGGCGAAGCATTATTTTTCTCGTCATTTCTCGTTATATTTGTGACGTGCGGCTGTCTTTGTGTCCATGGTTGCAAACAAACACTTGAAGACAATAAACAAACAGCTTGTAATATGTCGTAAATTTTTGTTGTTTTGCCTAAAATTTGAATATTTGTGACAGAAAATTTTGCTCGTGACTACATGCCAGCATTATTTTATTCTAAGTGTTGGTGTTATTTTAATTGTTTTTCATGTACAATTAATCATTTTATCATTGCAAGTTGTTTAACTACTTCAATAATTTATTACACAAGTCAAGAAGCCTTTAAGTGCACAATTTTATCATATTATGATGCCTTAATAACACCAATGGACATTATTGTTCATTGTAAGAGGAATGAATGTAGTATTGGTAAAATTTATAGTAAAAAACTTAAGATATATGCATGAACGATATAATTTTTCGTTTTTGAGCACATCAATCTGTTTTAGCGTGTTTACCCACTTAATATTGTTATGCATTAGTATTATTTACTTCGTATAAACATAATTCTTTAAATTGTTGAAAATTTTATTTTCTAACAAGGTTTGTTAATCAAATCACATCATCCTAATTTCCTATCATACGTATAAAGCAACGATGTTGCACTACATTCGTAAAGGATACGATTTGACGAGTAAAACTCGTTGAACACCTGGGGAAGATGGCATGAGTGTTAATAAATACTCGATACACCTCTGCACACTGGAGGAAACAGCTTTGGTTAACAGTTACGAAAAAAACTTTGCGAAGGCCACGACTCTACTGTTCGTCTTACTTGTATGTATCTTAATTTTTCTCTGTTTGTTTAAGGTGTATTTCTGCAGTCTTCTTGTCTTAACTGCAATATCTTAACTTTTGTATTTGCCGTATTGTATACACGATATAATAAAAGACGTGAAGACCACAATACAACAAAAGGTAAGACGTAAATTTCACTCTATATAGTTGATGATAAAACGGATGATTTTTTAACATCGATACCTTTTCAACTTTTAATACAGCAAAGTTTTTCTTCCACTGAGTTTCGTTTCGTTTCGTTATTTTGTACTTTATTAAGTGTTGATAATAATAATATTACTCAAACCCTTTTTAACTTTATTTCTAAGTCGCTATCTTTTGAAATTTTTAAATTTTTCAAATTTTTCAACTGTAACTTTTTGAATTTGTCAACTGAGCAACTTAGCTGTCTTATAGCTGCTTATAATTGTTTGATTAAATGAATTCAAAATTTGAATGAAAATTTAAAAACGGGTAGCTAAATTTGGCTGCAATACATGAAATTCCAAAGTTTTGCTGCAGCGTAAATCGAATTTGGGTAATAAAATTTAATGCCAACATAAGGCTTTAAGTTGAGCCAAAAGAACAGCAGTTTCAAAAATGGAATTTATTGTAACGTTTTGTCCTTACTTAAGACATTTTCAAACAGTAATGTATATTATTTCATTTGTAATAGAATATGTTACTTATATGTAAATAATCATATTTACATAAGCTGTTAGAATACAAAAGAAGACAGTGTCGAATACATTACAGAAATTACGAAGCTAGGAAGCACAATAAATTACAATTAAAAGGGATAGCGTGGAACATAACTCTCTAGGACGTTAGGTGAAGGCTTGTGATTAGGATGTTCTCACGAATAGAGAGTTTGTATGGATCGTGAGAAGAGAAAATCATTTTACAGAACATCAATATGGTGGTGTTTCCACATGTATTTATGTGAGCAAAATTGCTCAACTACGTAGGGCGGGATATTAGTTACCTGTGAGCGTTGCAGCTGCCACACTTGAATAAATACACAAAATGAACATTCACCCCTTTCGTTTACCGCAAACCTATACCCTCACTGACCTCTTCACTAACTTCCACAGCTTCATTACACTTAGTTACAAACGTTCATTAGATTCCTGTGTATTTCATCAAATCTCTTCCTAAAATTTTTCCACATAGAACTCTAATTTACAAAAAAAAAGTTACTCGTCAAAATCGGTTCTCCTTCCCGCATACATGACCGAATGACACGTCGCTTTCTCATCAACACATCAATTCTAATAGAATACATGCCCAGAACAGCCAAACATGTTTAATTCGTCATGCATTTATTATACTGTAAACCTGTAAAAGAGTAAAAGCTCAATTCAAGAGCGTGTCTTGGTTAATTTTGCTTTTATTAATTTTATTCAGTAACGATCACGTTGGAAGATTTTGGTTGTTATTTAAGGGGTGTGAGGGTTAGGGTTAAGATGTTCATATATTGATTTTTGTTTGTTAAGCTTTATTACTATAATACAACGGTGATGAAATCTCAATTGTGATTGTCTAATAGCCTTCAAATAATTGTCAATACACTATCACCTTGAAAAACTTTGAAAATTACCTGTAGGTGACGAATTTTCTTTATGAGACAACTGTAAATACAAGAAATATTTTGGTAGAGTCATCTTTAAGACTTTCAAGTGTTTTACTCTGCTCAAATTATCAAGAATAAAGACGAAAAAACCCCGAAGGTTAAACTGTCAGTCCAGAATGTTTTCATCGCGTATTTGTAGGAAAAAGACGAAAGCGAACGGCAAAAATTTTGTAATCAGCATGCAGTCAACGCTATCCCATGGCTAAAACTTTAGGGCCTAAAATTTTGCTAATGACTGTCAGCAAAATTGAATTTACTGTTGGTAAAGTTGATAGTCAAAAACGTAAAATACTTTTATATGGGAACAATATAATTTTTCATTATTGAGCACTTAAAATCATTAACTTGTTTTGCCGTGTTTGCCCACTTTAGATGCATTATTTGTGCTTCGTTTCTTCTTAGCTATAAACAGAGGTAATTCTCAAAAATATCAAAAACTTTACCTTTTATAACATTGCTTCAACCAACCACAGCATCCAAATTTCCAAACATTTAAAGTATTATTGCAGAATCGTAATGGATAGGATTTGACGGAAAACAAATTCTATAAACAGTTGAATAACTGAGGCAGATGGCATGAGTGTTTGTATATACTCAATATGGCACTGTACATTTGAGGAAGCCGACAGCCTTGGCCAGCAGTTGCAAGTTAAACATTGCAAAGCCACAGCTCTTTTGTTCGTCTGACTTGAACGTATCTTAATTTTTCTCTGTTTGTTTAAGGTGTACTTCTGCAGTCGCCTTATTGTGTCCGTTTTCAATTAATAAAACAGCAAAGGTAAGTTGTGATGTAGTTGATAGTAAAACGGAAGTTTTTTATCTTCAATGCTATGTTAACCTTTAATGCTGCAAATTATTTCTTTGTAAATATGTAACACCCTTTTCAACATTATTTTTTGGTCATTATCTTTTGAAATTTTTAATTTATTTAGTTCATTTTTCAACTGTAATTTTTTGAATTTGTCAACAGAGCAATTTAGCTGTTTTATAGCTGCAAATGTTTTTAATTCGATAAATCAAAAAATTCGAATGAAAATCCAATACGGGTATAGCTATAGAAACAATACGGGTATAGCTATACAGCTATAGAGGCTGCGTTACAAGAAATTGTAAAGTACTTTATGATTTCATAGGATTTTTACATGTATCATGATATAACAGGAAATTGAAATGAAATAGCTAATGGGAAGCTCTGCATGCACAATTGTTATTTTCATATTCAGATAAAGAATTTTAAATCGTCCTGGGATTTTAATCTATTGTATCTAAAATAAATGATTTGCTTTGATTTTAATTTGATCTCGCTTTCTTCGCTTCCTTAGCGCTATCCACTAAAAGCATTTTTTCATCGTTCAATAAATCTCTTGAAACACAAAAAGTTGAAATTTATATTGAACCGAGTAAGAAGAATAAAGCATAAATTGAAAGATAACCAAGTTTCATTATTTTAAAAAAATTATAACCACGTACATATATAATAGCTACAGTGGCTACCATTAAGAGAGCCATCATGCAGCCATATGAGACTAACTCGATCTATTTCTGAACAGTTTTTCTCGCTACACAATTTTGCTGAAATGAATTTTTTAGATAATGCTCATATATTGCTCAAAAATACGTTTTATCGTGATCTGCTTGCATCACAGATGTAATTGTGACGTAGTCATTGTCGATCTAATTATAAATTTAAAGTCTTCTGTGATTACGTACCTACATCAATAATCAATTATAATTTAGAGCTTTACTGTATATCCTTGGATCTATGCAATGATGAGTTTAATGATATGGTGGTTATTGTGGCTGTTATTTGGTCAAGGATTCACAATGAAAATGGGTTGGAATGAAGAGCTTGAGTTTTGTGAAGAAGAATGGAAGAAATTTGTGGCGGACAAAATTGAAATTGATTCGAAATGCAACAATACTCGTACACTTTGTTGTGTTGAGGAGAAGAAATATCTTTTGGAACGATTTAAAATGTTTAGTGAAATATGTCCACTTGAAGGTAAAGTAAACAACAGTTTAGTTTACAGTAAGTACAAAACATCAACTAATCATGTACTTGGCAAACAATCACAACACTTATATTACTGAGGTACTGTTTAATTTAAATAACGGTAATTGAAACCGTGTTCTTAGAAAGTGCATTAAAGTAAGGTACATAAAGTAAATGGTTTAAACGTGTAAGGTTCATGTTAAAGTACTCAACTGAATTGGAGACACTAGCTTCAGAGCATTGACGCAGCATAATCTCTCCTTCATTATTAATCTGTCTAGTTACAAAAGCAAAGTAACATATGACAGTAGAGTCAAAAATAGTAATTTGCGCAGTTATATTATATAGTCTGTATAATTATTATCTATTTGGGTTTAACAAAGACTTTCGATTCAATAAGGATAGTTTGTAACATTTTGTGGCCAAACGAGTGTCACTTTCCACTTGTTCTTTTTCTCTGGACAACCAGTTAAAGATAACATAATTTTTTTTAGGGACATGTGGATGCAGCCCGATTATTTTGAACTTTACTGCTAGTTCATCCTCCTATTATAGAGCCGAAAAATGGAATGAACCAGAAGACTTCACATGTTCACATAAGTACATAAATGAAAGAATAGAAAAATCGTATGAAATGCCTCCTGTTCTGCTTAAACTCGGACAACACAAAATCCCTTACAAGTATGTTTTATACGGTGGAAAAAGTCACACTTGTCATGTTGTCATCAACGTGAACGAAAGACGTGATCAAGGTACACACAAGGCAGTTTATTTTAGTTTCTCCTGTGTCAGTTTAATTCATAGTGCACCAATGTGATTATAGTGCTTCATATTCAACTTTGCTCAAATCCATACGACACTTTGACCTATATTTAATTCATCATGTACATAAACTCTTATGTGAAATTTTTTTGCAATTGCAAAACTAATAGAATACACGCCCGGAAAAGCCGAACATGTTTAATTCGTCATACATTTATTATAATGTAAACCTGTTAAAGGGTAAAAGCTCAATTCAAGAGCGTGTCTTGGTTATTTTTTTGTTTATTGATTTTATTCAGTAACGATCACGTTGGAAGATTTTGGTTGTTTGCTAAAGGGTGTGAGGGTTAGAGTTAAGGTGTTCATATATTGATCTATGCTTGTTAAGCTTTATTATCATAATACAACGGTGATTCAATCTCGATTGTCATTGGCTAAGAACCTTTAGATACTTGTCAATATATTATCACCTTTAAAACATTGAAAATTATCTGTAGGTGACGTAATTTTCTTTATGAGACAAGTGTAAATAGAACAAATATTTTGGTGGAATCTTCTTCGAGATTTTCAAGTGCTTTGCTTTGCCCAAGTTATCGAGAATAAAGACGAAAAAAACACCAAAAGAGTTAAACTGTCAGTCCAGTGAGTTTTGATCGCGTATTTACATGAAAAAGAAAAAAGCGAACCACAAAAAATTTTTTAATCAGACTGCAGTCAGCGCTATCCCCCTCAGCTTTGTTTCAGTAGATACCCAATTGACCTTGGTCTGCATATTGTCTAACATCATGCTCAACTTCATCCAAAAATTGTTAAATATTTTTCACAGGAGAATGTTTACATTTCACTTCAGTAGAAATAAATTTCGTTGTTGATTAACCCTCTGTACAATATCTCTGTACATATTTGTATGCATCTCTTCTCTGCATGTATAAACCTGTATAAACCTGTAAAAAAAAGCCTCACAATTTTTTATAAGCCTTGGGCATGATATTTATTTTAAGTGTTTGTAATTTTAAATTGTTCAACTCTGGTATTTTTATAATCAAGAGCACTATTTCACAGCACAACCTAAATGAACTTCACCAAAAAAGATTGTACAGCTTACAGAGTTCATAATTCAGTTTTACATTGAATTATATATTCCTTGTCTTCATGTTTGTATAATACTGACCTAAATCATCATTTATTTCTCGGCACAAATTTGTATTTAGTGTTCAGATAAACTTCCTTTTCATCAAAAACGAAAGATATGGGAGTTTGTACAGTTTAAGCTTCACAGATGAGTTGGAAAAGTTGAAAAACCAGCTTTCAGCCGACAATCTTAAAAAAATTCAAGAGAAACAGATTCCATAGGTGGCCCGATAAATCACTAAAAATGCGTAAACAAACCATAACTCTCCTTTTTCCATCGTAACAGACCGTGCGCCGTAAAATTTGTATTAATTAATTTTTTACACTTTTCAAATTGTTTGTAAAAGTTTTCTCTCTCCATGCCATTGAACTAAAATACGTGGAACGCTACCTCAGGCCAATAATTGAAGCCATATCTTACGCCACACACGCAAGATTTTACCCAAGACACGCGCGTTTAGTGTTTCAAATTCTTTCGTGTAGTAATAAGTGATTGACTACACACTCGTGTCTAGGAAAAGTCTCGCGTGTCTAGGGTAAAATAACGGCTCTAAAAATTATTAGGGTTTTGTATTACAGGTAGCGTTCCATGTATTTTAGTTCAATGCTCCATGCTGAAAACCTTAAATTGTTTTATACGCTATTATTTTTAAAATGACCCTCAACAGCAATTGGTTTATTGAATTCTTTAGAAAGGTTGAATTACAAGATGGCCTTTTTTTGGAGTGTTTTTTCCTATATTGATAGAATTCAGTATGCTAAATTATTTTTGGTAAAGTCCTATTATTTTTATATATATATTTTGTAGAGTGTGATATTTTCAATTATTTCTATCAAATATCAATGTCGTTTTTTAGATATGAGTGGATTTTTCATCAAACATGTTCAGTCAGGAGAGTGTATTGATGATGTTTCAGCATTGATCCATTTCACGTCATTATTGTTTGGAGAGAATTGTTTTGGTGTGTTAAATCGTTTTAAATTTTTACCATCTGGCTCAATCTCGAAGCTGAATAGAGCAACTTGTCTTGGGGGACGAGGCAAAGGAAATCTTTTGTGGTTATATGATGGAAATTTTAATGGAGAATGCGGAGCCATCAATGCTATAACCCAAACATTTTGGGGTGGTCTATTCCTTTCACGCTATAATCAATGTATAGTAGCTTCAGCATATTATTCCGAAGTGGGACTGGCCAATTGTCAAGAAGAAGAAAATCAGCGATTCAATTTTGGCAAGTTTAAAATATTCATTCAGTTGGTGTATATATACTTAAACTCTGATTAAAAGCCCCTGCAAGGCCACAGATATAGGAATGGCGCCAGTGAAGTCACTGCCATCACACGCTTCATTTTTATCAAATCAATTATTGCTTCACAGGAATTTTAAGATAAGCTTGTATAAGTATTTACTTAGTTTTTGTGTGTCTTCAATAGGCTCAATAACATGTGCTGGGAAAAATATATCGGATGTTAGTTGTTCTAATAATCAATATATGGTGATCAAAAATGCAGAATATCGTGGATTGCGAAAAGGAAGCATTTGTGGCTCCAGTTATAACCACATTTGTAGTGTCGATGTAACATGTGACCTTAAAAATTATTGTGATGGTGAAAGAAAATGTAATATAACTGTTGATGATAATCACTTTCCTTCAAATATTTGTCCTGGTTTGGAGAAATATCTTTACTTTGAATATCAATGTAACTACACAAGTATGCCACACAGAAAAATTTGCAATTGTAAGTATTATACAGGCAGATTATATTTTTCTTGCTATTAAAGAGCTTCGGGACAAATTTTGACTTTAATGTGCAATGGTATGATGTTTATTATTATACTATGTACGTTATAAATTTAGAAAAATTGAAACAAATTTGAATTTTCGTTTGGTGTCTTCACCAGGCGTTGTTTGTTTATGCATTTTTATCCTGTATGGTTTAATTTAGTGTATTTATATAATGCGACGTTTAAACTTGTGTCCTAAATATTTGGCTTAAGTTTAAAGGTTCGGTCAATTTTGTGTTTTTAGTTTGTTAATGCAAATTTTGTTCATGGAAGCATTTCCTCCTCCATGCAATTTGATTTATAAAATCTATTTCTTTTTTAAAATCTTTAGGCCCTTCTATGTAGGCCAAAAGTGACATCTACAATTGCGTTTGTATTCATATTTTCATGATTTCACACTACAGAATTTTTATATATACTGTCACCTTTTCTGTTATTATAATATTCAAAATCCGTGTATAAATTTTATTCACAAACGGGATTTGACATATTTATGTTCATAAAACCATTTCTAAAAACACAAATTTCACTTTAAGATATCCGATCATAATTAAAGGAAAAAATTATTTTGATTTGTGTAGTTAAGGATGTACGCCTGTCTAAGTCGAATCTTCCGAACGAAGGTGTTGTGAATGTTATTACCAAGTTTAGAAACTTCACTATTTGCAACAAAGGTCTTTCGCACAAAATAAAGACGATTATCTGTAATCAACTTGGTTATCCTACCGCAGCATCTGTGGATGGCTCAATGTCAATATCATCTTTGATGCATCAATCGTTTATACCTGGAAATGTCAAATGTGATGCTCGAGTGAACGATTTATCTCAATGTGCTATCACTCAAAATAATGATTGCTCTCAATATTCGAGCGTTACATGTAAGCGTTCTCATTCAATTTTTTCAATGTATTAACGTATTGTAGATCACATTTTTTTATGACGTTAGAGAAAGTTTTTAAGGAACAATTTAAGGAATAAATGTGTTACTTTTGAGTTCTCAACGTACATCTGTCTTTTGTTAAGCATCATGACTTACCTCTATCATCAAGACTTACATCTGTCAACGTGGTGTCACTGTATTTTACGCTGACTTGAAGAATTTCACAATTCTTCTTTTACAAAAGTATCAAAAGAACTTCAGAATCACAAAATATGAACGATTGCTGCTCTTAAATAATAAATAATTAAAACAGGATTGCTGCGAATACTGAGGATTAAATTAATTTTACTCTTGCTACTTCATTTCGTGCTTCAAAAAATGTCCAATTGTCATTGCTCATCACGATGATTGACGTTCACTCTTTAATGGAAATTAAATCGCTACGGTATTGTTGTTATTAGGCATAATACTTACGGTTCCTTGTCATAGCTGGCTTGATTTCAACTGGAATTTAAACTTAATCAATAAAAGCATGCAAAATCAGTCGTATTCCTCCAATACTTCTTGTGCTCTTTCTCTTTTTTCAGAAAACAGTTTTTAATTTTTGCAATTTTTCGTAAATGGAGAACAATATGAGATTGCATCATTACTCTCTATCAAATCAAGCCAGTTCTAATGTTGTAATGCATTTCAACAAAATCCTTTTCTATTTAAGGTCATGTTTGTGAAAATCCTCTATTAAAAAACGCAGAAAAATTCCCAGATTCTTGGTTTACTGCCTTCCCAAAGAGTTGTAGTGCTGCTAAAGCAAGAATATCCAGTGGCAGTTCATGGTGTGCTTCTGTTGCAGATGGCACTCATTATCTTCAACTGAATTTCCCGAGTCTTTATACAGTTAACGTTATCGCAATCTTTGGTGACAGTTCAAGTTCAAGCTTTGTAACTAAATATCACTTGCAGACAAACATTGATGGTTTAAACTGGAAATCTGAAAAATCCCAAAAGGTAACGGTAGAATTTCCGAATTTGTATATTATAAATTTAATGGGAAATTTAAAAAAGGAATGAAGTTATAAACTAAGTAAACTTTTAAATTGCTATTTATATACAAGCTTGTGTGCAGATGTTGATTCAGTGGTGTAGCAGGCACGCAAAATTGTTGGTTCTATGCAAATTTCAGATCATTATCATTATTCATTTGTTTAGAGATCTTTAGTTTTTACAGTAAGTGATCTCTGAGAAATTTACGTATAGCACGATCAAATTTGTGGGCTAGCTACATCACTGTGTTGATTGTCTTGGTTAATCCTGCACTACGAAGGACTCTTGAATTTGATTATAAAGATTAAATTGTAACTATGTGCATGATTTGAAGACATACATAGACAATGGATAAACTACTCTCCTCTGGACTGCGTTAAACAAACCTGCCTTTTCTCTAACCTTGCTCTGCAA